GAGGACCATGCTTTGGGGGGGCATTTGTGTGAGAAGGGGCCGGCGAAGAGTGAGAGAGAGAGAGAAGAGAGAGAGAGAGAGAGAAAGAGAGATGATAGAAAACAAAATAATACCATCACGCTAAAGAGAACGAGCACAACACGAAACCACTTTAAAAACAACCACTCAAAACAGCGAGGGCCGCCACAATCCCCCGGCCTCTCCTCCTCCTCCTCCTCCTCCTCCTCCTCCTCCTCCTCCTCCTCCTCCCTCCTCGCTCTTCCCTCCTCCCTCCGCCCTCCTCCTCCCTCCCTGCCTCCTCCTCCTCCTTCTCCTCCTCCTCCCTCCTCCACCTCCTCCTCCTCCTCCTCCTCCTCCTCCTCCGTGGGGCGCCCACCTGTTTCTGGCCGCTTTTTGGCCGAGGGCGGCCCAGGCTGGACGCCTGAAGCTGCCCCATGTCTTGTCTTCCCCGCGCCCTTGGAGCCTGGCTGCGCCGATGCTGCAAATGCTGACCCCTCCCTTATGTTGCATCCTTGGGGGACCTTCTCTGTCCCGTCGCGGCCCCATCCGCGTCGAATCCGTGTCGAATCCATGTCGGAATCGTCGGGTCCGTGTCGAATCCGTGCCGGCTGCGCGTCGGATCCACGCCAAATCCGCATCGGCCCGCGCAGGGCACAAGAAAAGACACCAAGCTTGGGGCACAAGCGAGGTACCCCGAAGATGCAACATGACCTCCCTTCTCCAGGCGGGCGCGAGAGGGACCGATGCAGCAATCGTGCTGCAATGCGGAACCTTGAATCAATACCAAAAAGGCTTTTCAGGCCACGGCGAGACTCGATCACGAATGGGTAATTTTTGCCAGCGGACCGAACAAAAAAGCCCGCCTGAACCTAAAGTTGCCCTGATTTCAGAGTCTTGGCTGCAGGGGGGACTGGCTCAGAGGGAGGACGCATCGACCTGGCATCGGCGAGATATCGACGATAGGTAATGTTGAAACCGGAGCCAGCGGGTGCTATCAGCCCCGCCTGACGGGGAGCTGTCCGGGGAACCCAAAGAGCTGAACAGGGAGCTGCGACTTCAGACCGGCCCAGACCCCTAGAGTACAATCAACTCCAAGGAACCCGGTGCCAAGCCATGACATGCAGCGCGGTGTTGTGTTCTATGCCGCTGTGCGATGCCATGCTTGGCATTGCAATGCTTCCTCATGCACTTCTTCACTACGCAATGCCACGCCATGCTATGTGCGAATCGAGAAGATATCTGCGCCATTGTAAGGGATGGGACCGAGGGGCATGACTTCAGATGTTGCGCGAGCGCACCTAGCTTGCCACCAGCCCCTCCCCTTCGCCCCTACCCCTGAACTCCCTCTTCTCTCCATGTGTCGACCTCCTTTCCCCGCCACTTACACAATATGAATACTACTCTCCTCTCTCCCCGGACGACGTCCAGAAGATATCCGGCCTCCCATCAGCGTACTGCTTTTTTAAAGCACTAGATTCTCGGGCTCTCGGTTTTCGCTTGGGTTCGCTTTTCAAAATGCGGTTCCCGCTGAAGCGCTGGTCTCATTTTCGGCCTTCCCGCTCGTTCCGAATCGTGCTCCCGCTGAAGCGGCGGCCCCCCATTTCCGCGCTTCCTCTCGTTCCGAATCGTGCTCCCGCTGCAGCGCTGGCTTCACTTCCTGGTTGTCATATCTATGTTTGGCAATCCGATTCTGTTCGGTCCTTCAACATGTTGCTCCCGCTGCAGCGCTGGCCCCATTTCTGCGCCTCTGGTTGTTCCAAAGCGTGCTCCCGCTGCAGCGCGGGCGTTTTCGATCCTTCCAAATTGGACCCACATCTAGAAAATGATCACCAGAAACAACATCGCCAGTGATTGCACATTCTGTGTCGATTCGTTGGCTTCTTGGGTCGCAGAAGGCCTCCCAACTTCGGGGCGGCGGCGTTCGGAGGAAGTATCAAGCGGGAGCCCCGTTTCTGCTTTCAAAGGCGATGTTGCAAGCAGAGCCAGCGGGTGCCCTCCATCATCCCCGCCTTGTGGGGAGCTTTTCGCGGAGCCCAAGGAGCTAAACATGGAGCCGCGACTCCAGACCGGCCCACACTCTTCGAAAAGTATTCACTTACCCTCCAAGGAACCCGGAGCCCTGCTCTGACATGCTGTGCGGTCTTCTGTTCTGCGCCGCTGTGCGATGCCATGTTTTGCATTGCAATGCTTTGTAATGCTATGCATAACTACGCAATGCCACGCCATGCTATGACATTCTGCGCTCTGCCGTGCTCTTCTACGCCATACCATGACATGCGTTACAATGCGTCCCGCACCCACTCGCGAACACCGCCCTGCTCGACATCCGATTGTGCGAATAGAGAGGAGATCTACGCCATGGTAAAGGATGGGAGGGAGGGGTAGGACGTCAGCTATGACGCCAGCGAGCCTAGCTTGCCCGCGCCCCGTGCTCGCCCTCCTCCGAGGCTCACTCCCTGACGGTGCCGGCGCGAAGAGTGACTTGACCACCTGGGCCTCTGGAGGTCTCGACCCCTTCTCGGGGCCTCCCGCCCCCTCCTCCGCTCCTCCACCTCCTCCTCCTCCTCAACAGCTTCTCCGTGTCGCGCCCCGAGGCCGGTCGAAAGGGCGGGCCGGACCTTCCGCATGATTCCTCGCAACTTGCGACCCTGAAGCTGACCCTGAAGCTTTCAAAGTTGGCGACAGCTTCACAGATGGATGGCGGGTCGTTTTCAACATGTGGCTCTCGCCTTAGCGCCGCGCGCATTCGTTCTAAACATTTGCAATGAGTTTCACAGATTGAGGGCGGGTCGTTTTCAAAATGTGGCTCTCGTCTTAGCGCCGCGCACATTCGTTTCAAACATCTGCGAGAACTTCACGGATTGAGGGCGTTTCCTGATCACAATGTGGCTCTCCCCTTAGCGCCGGGAGCATATCTTCAAACAGTTGCAAGAGTTTCACATATTCTCACGGTCAACGTACCACACATTGTGCTGTGCAAAGAGTCAAGATTACGAGGGTTCAACATTTACTTTTCATTCGCGGTGTTGAAGTCCCCGGAATGGCGTTCTGGCGCGATTCTGGATCAAGACGCAACAATCAGGTTGATCCGTGGCGTTACAATCTCGAGAATCATGTTTCGGCATGCTTCAGGGTTTTCAAACTGATGTTTTCCAACGAGGCAATTCCACCAGTGAAAATGAATCCTTGAAGGGACCCATGGAGTGGCCGCTTGAAGGGAAGGTTGATTCCAACATCTTTGATGACTCTGGGGTTTACACTGGTCCTCCTCCGTCTCCTCCTCCTCCCTCTCCTCCTCCGCGTTCCTCCCCGTTCCTCGTTCCTCCTCCTCTTCCTCCTCCTCCTCCTCCTCCTCCTCCTCCTCCTCCTCATCATCATCATCATCATCATCATCGTCCTCTTTCTCCTACTCTTCCTCATCCTCCTCATCCTCTCCTCCTCGTCTCCTCCTCCTCCTATTTCCTCCTCCTCCTCCTCCTCCTCCTCATCCTCCTCGTTCCTCCACCTCCTCCTCGTTCCTCCTCCTCCTCCCCCTCTGACACACGACGTCGCGCGACTTTCTCACGACGTGGGCCCCCGGAGGTCTGGAGCCCGAGCCCCCCGGGCCCGAGCTCGAGCCCCCGGGGCCCGAGCTCGAGCTCTTCCTGGGCACCGGCTCGTCCCCCAGCGGGAGGACGCATCCAGGACGAGGATCACGGCGGGTGAGGCTGCATCGAGAATCTCCGAGAGCCCGCGGCCCTGGAGGATGTTTTTCGGGCGCCGCGGCCTTCTCCGAGCGCTTCCGGAACGCCCTGGCACGAATTTTAGTCGGCCCAAGTCTGCAAGGACCTTGGACGCCCATTTTGAAGCTTGTCGAGCGGGGCGCGGCCGACGAAGGTGGCAAAGGATGGACCGAGGAGGCAAGGACGCAAGGGTCCCCTTCGGAAGACTGCCCATCCTTGCTATGCGGGCTGACTGCCGTCCTCGCCCTGTAGCCCCGCCCGGCCCGGGCCCGAGCTCGAGCCCCAGCTCGAGCCCCAGCCCGGGCCCAGGGGCCGGCTCCGCGAGCCCGGCCCTGCCCGCCCCAGGGGAAGGGGGCGCGGCAGGGCGGGGTGCCGACGGCGGCGGCGCCTGGATGTCGCAGCAGTCGTCCTCGCGCTCGGCGGGGCGCGACGCCCCCCTCGCGGGGTGCCCTCCCCTGCCGCCCTGAGGTCGGGCATGTCCTCTCTACAGGCGGATGTCGGAAGAAAAGTCTTCAATAGTCAAACAGATTCAAGCATTCGGAAAAATAATTGCAATAATCTACCCAGAACTATGTTCTTACTATTCTGGAGACTGTTCCTCCTGTAGAGGGACGTGCCCGCCTCAGTCCGAAGGCAACGCCAGGACAGGGGCGAACTCGATGGCCCCCGAGGCGGCCAAGATCGCCCCAAGCGAGCCCCACGTGGCCGAAAAGTAAGGCGGGGGCGGCCCAAAGTGCACCCCAGACGGCCCAAGATGGCCGAGAGGACGGCTCATGGACAGGCCAAGAGGCCCCAAAGAGGCCGCCAAGAGGTCCTCCAGGCCGGTCCAAGAAAGGCAGCACATCATTGATGTTGCGTATGTCTTTGAACGATGCTGATATCCCCCCACGCGTCGTGAACAGAAATCACCCGCGGGAGGTTCTTCGCCATGCTCTGCCTCTGGGGGCCCTGGCCGGCCTCGGGGCCGTCGAAGAACGGCTCGGGATGAAAAACCGGTCCCCGGGAATGGGTCTAGATCTCTGGGGGTCGGCGTTGTGAACAAAAATCGGGGGTCTGGGCAGGGAGGCTGGGATGGAGGGAGGCTGGGATAGAAGTGCCGATGAGGGAAGGTAAGGTAGAGGATGGGATGGGTGACGAAGGGGGGCGGAGTGAATCAGAAGAGAGGGAGAGAGAGAAAAAGAGAGAGAGAGGGGGAGAGAGGGAAAGAGCGCGAGAGAGAGAGTGAGAGGACGGGAGCCTGCACCTACACTCACTTCCCCCTGGGCCGCGCGGAGGCGCCCCAGCTCCTGGTAGGCGTAGAACATCGCGACGCCGTCCCAGAACGCGTGCAGCTCCGCGTACACCAGGGCCACGCCCCAGGTGTCGCAGAGCAGCAGGTAGCCTCCGGCCCCCGAGCGCGGCGCGCGCTCGGATCGTGCACGTGCTGCTTCTTGCTCTTCGAGGCAAGGGGGGGGGCTGGCACACAAGCCCCTGCCTCCCCTATGATGAGCTCGTGCCGTGACGCGTGGATCGTTCAAGCTTGAACAGTCGGCGCTTTCCGACGGCACACTTCGTTCGCTGTCGGTCCGATGCGGCATCGGGCTGACATCGAACGCGAGAACAGCGTCAACGCGACAACCACGGTTCGGGACGGGCGGTAGTGTCAGAGTTGAAGTCGCAGATCGCTCAACGCGAGTCGGCACGCTTCAGTGGGGAATGTTGGAGACAAGATCGATGTGGTTTGTCAAACGATTTGATTGTAGATGCCGTCCTCAAGGTAGTGAGGATGTGAGATTCCACTAAGATGGGCGCGGGGGTTGCTAAGGGGATAAGGGTTTTTCTCAGTGGACGCCAAGGGGGGTTTATCTGGCCTAACCTATCTTATGAGTGAGCTTCACATGCCCCAAGCGACTTACGGTGATTAAGCAACTCTGCTAAGTGGGCAGAACCCATCAAGCTTGGAGCCCTAAACCCCCTAAGCCTCTTGGGGCAGTAGCAACCAACTACTGAGCTAGGTTAGGCCAGACATATCCCACCTTGGCATCCACTGATAACCCCCTATCCCCTTAGCAACCCCCGCGCCCATCCCAGTAGGGTCATTCTTGCGTACAGCCGAAGGCGGCGCGAAAGGGGGTCGGCTTTCTCAGAAGGCGCGGGGGGGGGGCTTTCGAGAAGGCAGACGGCTGGCCTTCCCGGCCCACTGAGCGCACACACGTGGCGTCGGAGGTCTGGGCCGAGGCGCGGGTGTGCAGTGTTGAGCGCCACCGGTGGCGTGCTGGGATGGGCGCGGGGGTTTGAGGAGGGTTTTCAGTGGATACCAAGGTGGGTTATATCTGGCCTGACCTAGCTCATTAGTGGCCTGCTACTGCCCCAAGATGCTGAATGAGGGGGTTTAGGGATCCAGGCTGAGTGGGCTCTGCCCACTTAGCAGAGTTGCTTAATCCCCGTAAGCCACTTGGGGCGTGTGAAGCCCACTTATAACATAGTTAGCCCTGGTATAACCCCTTTGGCGTCCACTGAGAACCCCCTATACTCTTAGCAACCCCCGCGCCCATCCCAGTAGGCAAGATTGACCTTTGGTGCACGGCTGTTGGGCAGCCGCGGGGGAGGGGCGAAACCCAAGCGCACCAGGCGCACCTATCGCATCGCAGTCTGCGATCGGGGGACACCAGTGGGCCCGCACCAAGAGTCTCTCCGGCGAAAGGTCACTCTCACGTGTAGTCGACCCCCCCCGTTTGGGCGCCGCCATCTCAAACAGCTGGCGTCTCGATATTGGAAACGGGCCCCCCGACCTCTCGACCACTTCCCCGAGACCGGCTTTATCCATCCCGAGCAGTGGTTGTGACGGTCCCGAGGCCCGGCAGAGTCCCCGAAAGACGGACAACGAGGAAACAACCACCTCCGTCTCGACTCTCGAGACGCTGGATGTCTGGGACCCCCCTCTCCTTCCTCTCGGCGGCGAGCGAGCGGGGGAAGCGAGAAGGAGAAGGCCTTCTCAGAAAACGGCCGCAGGGCTTCTCAGGATCCCTCGCGCCGTTTGGGAAGTTTTTGTCCGTGCCTTCGCGGGGAGCTTAGAACACTTCTCAGAAGGTCCGAGGACTCCCGAGCCAAAAGGCCCGCCCCTGTCTGGTGGGCTTGTTTTCCACCGCCACCACAAGAAGTAGGAGGGGGAGGAGATCCTCCTCCTCCTCCTCCTCCTCCTCCTCCTCCTCCTCCTCCTCCTCTCCTCCCTCATTCCTCCACCTCCCTCCCCTCTCCAACGTATGTGGTGGTGGAAACCGGGCCCGCCCCTGTTCACTTCCCCCTGGGGCTCGCCGCCGACCCCCGCCCTGCGTGCCCACCCGGCCGCGCCGCCCCCGGGGCCGGGCCTGCCAGGAGCCTCATCGCGGTCCAGGAGGCGCCCTCCAGCGGGTAGGCGCGCCTCGCCACTCCCCCCCCCGCCGGGGCCTCCCTCGCGCGCTGCGCCACCCACGCCCCTCCACTCTTGTGTTGCTCCCATCGTACTCAAGGGCCACATCCCAGCAGCAATTTCGAGCACCCAGAAAAGTATCGAAACAGTGTCGAGCGAGTGTCGCCTCCCAGGACCCGACACGTGAAAACCCAAATAAGTACTTTCCTGGTGCTCGAAATTCTTCCTGGTGATCAATGCTAAAACAAATTGGAAGATCATGACCCTCTTGCAGCAGAACAACTAGCGCATGAGCAGAACAACTTATGGAACTCCACGCGGATTTCTGGGATCAGCGCTGGGCCCCTCTAGCGACGCCTTCGGCGCCGCCCCTGGTGCGCTCCGCGCGCCAGGGAGGGGGTTAAGCGCCGATCCAAAGTATCCGCGCGGAGCTCCAACAGTTTGCGTGTGCCGTTTGTCTGAGTTCCTCATGAATATGCATCTGCCGTTGTTTGTTATCTGTTTTTAAACTCGGCGTGTCGTAAACCATTTGTTTAGCCTTGCTTTGTCCCAACAAGAAGAAAACAAAGCACGCAAAATCAATATTCTCTGCTTTTGCCCTTTCACCCGCGATTTTTTTGCATGTTCAGATCAGCTGGTTGCATCGCTCACATTGCCGTCTACGGCGTCCGCAGCTCCTCCTCTGTGGCGTGCAGGCCTTCTCCTGGCGCGCAGTCTGGCGGGCCCGATGGCCGGTTGCCCCTCCTGGGGCCGTCGGCCCTCCGGGCCTGTTTCGGGCAGGTGTTACACCGGTGTCGCAAAATGTGTTTGGACTCTTTTAGCTCCGGGGGAAGAACGCCGGCAGGAGCGAGCGGGAGCGAAGGCAGCAGGGGAGACAAGGACCAGCCTTCGACCAAAGAGCAAAACAACGATGATGAGCAACGATGGTCTTCAAAACTTTGGAACAACTGGAGCAACCGATCAAAACCGCTAGAACACTGTTGCGTCAATTTTCGCGCCGTGCAACCCAGTTTAAACAATTCCTGGGGCGTTTTTAAGAAGAACCTAACTGCTTGTTGTTCTCCGAGCCTGATCACCTCTGCCTCCCCCTACCTCCTCTCGCTGCAAAACAAAAAAAAACGCAAGGTTTGGGGGCACTTTTGGCCTCCAAAGGCCCTCGCCAGGCCCTGGCACCGTCGAAACACGCCTCGGGAAGAGGTGCCTCCTGGGGATCGGGCTCCTCGATTCGGGCCCCTTCGGCACCGCATGGGACCCAGGGGGCCGGAGCTGGGATGGGCGCGGGGCTTGCTGAGGGGATAAGGGGGTTCTCAGTGGACGCCGAAGAAGTTATACCTGGCCTAACTTATCTTATAGGTGGGTTTCACATGCCCAAAGTTGCTTAGAGGAATTAAAGAACTCCGCTAAGTGGGCGGGGCTCCCTTAGCCTGGATCCCTAACCCCCCTAAGCCTCATGGGGCAGTAGCAACCCACTAATGAGCTAGGTTAGGCCAAATACAACCCACCTTGGCATCCACTGATAACCCCCCTATCCCCTTACCAACCCCCGCGCCCATCCCAGCAGAAACTCTCCCAGAAACTCCGCTGAAAGAGACCGGAATTCTGCTGACGCAGCCCAGGAATTCCCAACAAAGAAATCAAGATGCATTTGATGTTTCTATGATCTTGATGTTTGCTGCTCTGTGGCCGCCTGCGGGATCCCGGGCTGCAGCAGACAGTCCCGAGACAGTACCCGAAGGTTTCAGAAGGAATTATTGTTTCGGGTGCAGGTTCTCTTATTCGGTGATTCGACATTGGGCGGACGGGAGGGGAGGGGTCTGGCTCTGGATCTCTGCTTAATGACACTGTTTGCACAGTGCGTCCTATGAGGGAGACTCCACCTGCTTGAAGCAGGCGGTCGATGGAACACAGGATGCCCATTGCGGAGTGCCCAAAGTAGCCACAATCTACTCCATGGGGTGGGAGGAGAGGGGAGTGTGCGAGGGCCGGCGTCGATGGGCAAAACAATGAATAAGGAAACGATCACCAGGGAGTGTGTTGGCATGCATGTTTCTGAGGTCCTTGGCAGAGTTCATCTGGGGGTCTCCTGGCACAATCTCCGCGAGGCCTTACGTATGCGCAGTTAAAGGAGCCTCGCCCCTCTTGGAGGTCTCTTGGGAGCGACTTCCTGGATGGGCGCGGGGGTTGCTGAGGGGATAGGGGGGTCATCAGTGGACGCCGAAAGGGTTATACCTGGCCCAACCTAGCTTATAAATGGGTTGCACATGCCACGAATGTCGTATTGGATCAGGAGCAACTCCGCTGAGTCGGCGGGGCCCATTAGACTGGATCGCTATCCTCCCCCCAGTCCAATTGGGGCACCTAACGAACTAGGCTAGGCCAGACATAATCCACCTTGCGGCGTCCACTGACAACCCGAGAGCCTGGAATCGAATCGATAAATCGGATCGGCGATCGGAATGAATCGGATCGGCAGAAATCGGCAGCCAAGTCGGAAGAAATCGAATCGGCAGAAATCGGCAGGCTCATCGGCCTCCATTGAGCCCAAATCGGAATCCGAAATCAACTCGAATCGGAATCGGAAGTCATCGAAATCGAATCGAATCGAATCGGGGGAATCGAAATGAGTCCTGCATATCCCCTTAGCTCCTTCCGCGCCTATCCCCGTTGGAGTGCGGGCACCCCGCAGCACGCCCCAGCCACGTGCCCCGCCTGTAGAGCAGAGGGGCTCGCCCGCCCTCGAAGGGAAGTCTCCCAAATCGGCGCACCCCTCTCTGATGCGAGGGCTGTCCCCCCCTTTGCCGCGCAACGGGCGTGCAACGCAGAGAGAGAGAGAGAGAGAGAGAGAGCGAGAGAGAGAGAGAGAGAAAGAGAGAGCGACAGAGAGAGAGAGAGAGAGAAGAAAAAAGAAAAGAGAGAGAGAGAGAGAGACCGCACCCCCGCGGGCGGCGAGGAAGCCCAGCCCTGCCAGTCGGCCCGTATCAGAAGGATGCGCGACACAGTCGGGGCGCTGACCTCAGGAACCCCGAATAAGAAACGAGGCCAATGTTTTTGCCATAGGTGAAACTTCGATTTCCCATCGAAGACCAAGAAACACCGAAGGCAAACTGTGAAACAATTAAGGAACACGGCGCCCCTCCCCAACGCAGAGGGTTCGTTTTTCCGCGCCCTGGCTGTAGGGATGCAAAGCCTTGGACGCCCATGTCGAGGCTTCTCGCGCGGGGCGCGGCAAACGAAAGTGGCCAAGGATTGACCCGAGGAAGCAGGGATGCAAGGGTACCCTGGGAAGGTTGCCAATCTCCTTGCTATGCAGGCTGACTGTACCGCGCCCTGGACGTTGAAATGCGCAAGGACCGCACCCCGTGCGCGCACCCTCTGGTGCCGCGAACATGCCGCCCCTGCCACGCCCTGGGAGGCGAAACGCATGGAGCCCGCACCCGGTGCGTGCCCCTTCCGGCGGCAAGGGAGCGCCACCCCTGCCGCGCAAGCAAATCGTGAAACGCATACTTGCGGAGACCGCGCCCCGTGCTCGCCCCCTCCCAAGACCCCCGACGTCGTGATTTTTGTCAGAACGTCGACCCCAAGAGGTCTGGATCCCTTCCCCAAGACAAATGTTTCATCCTGAGTGGTCTTTTGAGAGTCCCGAGACCCGGCGAAAGCCCCTGCTGGGATGGGCGCGGGGGTTGCTAAGGGAATAGGGGGGGTTATCAGTGGATGCCAAGGTGGGTTATATCTGGCCTAACCTAGCTCATTAGTGGGTTGCTACTGCCCCAAGAGGCTTAGGGGGGGTTTAGGGATCCAGGCTACATGGGCCCCGCCCACTTAGCAGAGTGTTTTAATCCCTCTAAGCCACTTAGGGCATGTGAAACCTACTCATAAGAGAGGTTGGGCCAGGTATAACCCCTTTGGCGTCCACTGAGAACCCCCTTATCCCCTCAGCAAGCCCCGCGCCCATCCCAATGGAGGCCGAAAATAGCGAAAAAACTCCCGTCGTGATTTTTGTCACAACGCGAGGTGGTCTGGGCGTGGCGGCGAGGAACTGCCACCCGTGTCGCGCATGGGATGGCGAAGCGCGTAGAAACAACAGCCCATCGCGCGCGTTCTGCACGACTGCGCCTGCCGCGCCTGGCGCGCGGCCGTGCAGCAGGGCAGGAAACAGGAACGACCCTTGCCGAATGGGCCCGGTTTTCGCCGCATGGGCTCTTCCATCTCAAAGAAGAGGCCTCCTAGATGGGGACGGAGTAGATGGGGATGGAGGATCGCACCGCATCGCCGGTGCATCGTCGATGCATCGGCGACGTCGACGCGAAGCCAATCGGGCCTCACATCGAGCCGCATCGGCAGTGCATCGGCGATGCGACGCGATCCTCCGACCCCATCTACTCCGACCCCATCCAGGAGGCCTGGACAGAGGCAACCGTCCATTAAGAGTGCTTCCGCTGAGGGTCAACTGTTTCGTTTTCGAAAGGATGGTCTGGTGTGCCGCCCGGGCCGGCGCTCGTGGTCGCCCCGTTGCCGCCCAGCCGCCGCTGGTCGCCGCCCGTCGCCGCCTCGTCGCCGCTCGTCGCCGCCGCAACTGGGCTCGTGTGCCGCCCCAGCCGGCTTGTGGCCGCCCCGTCGCCGCCCCGTCGCCGCTCGTCGCCGCCTCGTCGCCGCCACCTCGTCGCCGCACCACATACGTTGAACTACGTAACTCACAAGAGTGCACCACACAGAGATTCCTTCTCTAACGGATGATGAGGATCTACCCTCCCCCCGACATGAAGGGCTCCCCTTTTCCAGATTGCAATGTGCAAAAGATTCAGCCCCATCGTCCATCCGAACTACGAGGTCGTACCATCCCGGGCATGCCAAGATCGTCCCCCTCATCCTCTACAGAAAATCGTCCTCATCCGTGCATTCGTTTTAACTATACACAACCATACGAGGCCAAGGCGTGCGGGAATCTTTCAACAACCGTATGTCCCGTAAGGATTTCAACATCGAGCGTCCCGAAAAATATGGACAGAACGCAT